TGGGGCGGGGCGGGGCGGGGGTTCCGCCCGGTTGGTGGGGCGGGGCGGGGCGGGGGTTCCGCCCGGTTGGTGGGGCGGGGCGGGGCGCCACATCATGAGAATACCATTTTTAAGATGAGTTTTTAAGCATGTTTGGAAGGATTTTGTATTAGTCACTGGGCGTCAGATCCACAAAGATTTTCATTGATTCACTTCCTCTCCTGAAGGTACTCGTTACTTGCAGATTTCAGGGGATGAGGAGCAAGCTTAGGGAATCAGCGCAACAAGTTGGAGAAAAGTTCTGATACCTGGAACTGATATTCCAAGTAGAAAGATGAGCATTGGATGGGATTTAGGGTGTGGCATATAAGATGGAATAGAGTGTGAATCTCAAAATTGATCACAGAGGGAGAAGTTTATATAAATTGTTTGCCAGGGCTCTAATGATAATGTGAGGCATTTGGAATGATCTCTGAACTTTCTCTCACCTCTGCACAGGGACCAAGACGCTGAGTGGGAGCATCGCTACGATGGATATGTGTGTCCGACACCTCTGGCAAGTTGCGGGTAAGGAGCTTCAGAGCATTGATGGGCTACTTTTGGGACATCGTGATCCAACTGCAGGAGACAACAGCATCAAATCACCCAGCAAGAGGGGCAAAAATGCGATGGGAGGAGTCCTACAATGGGATTGGGCATTACTTTGGAGCATAGATGATCAGTAAATGCCTGCACTAACTATCTTGAACCAGTGGAGGGGGCCATGTCATCATTATTCATTTGAGCTGGTGAAGGAGCTAGAACCTGATCCTGCAAATTCATTCAGTCCCAGAATCTCCACTCCTCACCTCAGATACTGGAGTCCAACGCTGGACTGCAAGGTCCAAGGGTCAGTACTAAGGGAACACTGCGCTGACACAAGGTTAGTGCTGAGGGAGCGCCGCACTGTCGGAGAGTCAGTGCTGAGGGAATGTTGCACTGACAAAAGGTTATTATTGGAGGAACGCTGCACTGTTGGATGATCAGTGACGGTGTGGCACACCTCGGCAGAGGCTTGGTTGAAGAAATGTTGCACTGTTGAAGGTGCTTTCTTTTAGATTACAGTCTAAACAGAGGGCTCATGGACCAACCCCTGTGGACATGCGAAAAAAAATCCCACGGCCATGTTATTATTGTCAGTAGTTCAAGTGAGAAGAGTGTGATAGCTATTCAATTTAAAAATCGATGCCATGATATACAAGGCGGCGGGGGGAGCGGTGGGGGAAACGGCTAAGACTAGGAGAGAACTGTTGGACTGCTATAGTCAATAAACTCTGTGCCTAAAGAAAGTCTATGACTCTTGGTTCCAGTGATTGTGTTTGACCAGTCAGGTTAGAATCTGTAAACAAGCCACAATGCAGGTGGCTTCCGCCTGGTGTCAGGCTTATTGAGTGGGCTAATTGTGACAGGTGCTGTGGTTTGACTGGGCTATTTCACTTTTGTCACTAAATTCCGTGGTCACCTGGCAGGTTGAATGTGTTGTAAACACACATGCCTGGAATCGAAACATTTGGTCAGTGAATAATTATTGGAATGTGGAATTTGCTACCACAAAGAGCAGTTGAGGTGAATAGTTTCAATATTAGAAGTGTTTCCTGACACAAATCCAACAAAAAAAGATTATGACAGCACATACTCATCCCCGTTCTTTCCAGATGATGCTTAACTGTGCAATAAAAAACCAATTTTGAAAAAAATAGGTAAAAATCTACTTTGTTTAAGACTTTTTTCTCTTTAACGATATATCATAAACTTTTTATTTAAAATTCCATTTGTTAAGTACTTAACAATCTCTAAATTTAATTTGGATATTTTACCCTGGTGAACATGCACCAGGATAATAGCAGCTTCAGCTGATGGCCACATTGTTGGGCCAACGAGGTTGGTTAAATGCGGAATCTGAAAGGCAGCAGCTCTGAGAGTGCAACATGCCCTGGGCCCCACCCTCTCTGAGTGCAGCATTCAATGGGAAGCTGGATAAACACAAGAAAGTGGACTAGGAAGATCTACAAACAAAGTGAGAAATGAAGGGCTTATGAGAAGCTGAACAGTAGAAGTTAGAAATGACCCTTAATCATGCAGTGAAGTTGCTGCCCAGTAAAGAATTGGTTGCGTTTGTAGAATGGTCTCTGTGATGACAGTCTGTGAAAGTTTAGCCAGTTGATTCCTTGTTCTTTTCCTCTCAGGCTGCTCAATGGAGCATGCGCTGGAAGCTGCTTCACTTCGTCCTGCTGAGCTACTGGGGATTTCACAGACAAAGGGAACCCTGGACTATGGCACTGATGCAGGTAAGATTGTAGTAGCTACCTCAGTATCTGTGTAACCACAAGAGCTTGACCCAGAGGGGTCAAGACCAAATTTTGAATCACAGACTTTAAGGAAGAGCTATCTCAGTAAGATTGTTTGTGACTGGAGAGGTGATGCCAGGGTGCTGGGGCTACTTTGGCTGCTGTTTTATCTCTCTCTACTGAACTACCTGTCTCCTGAACACATTGTGTGAAAAGATCCCTGGAGAGACCAGCAGGAATGGATTAAATCACAAACATCAAAACTTTGACCTATCCTAAACCTAGTTCATAGCTTGTGCACAGTTGGTCTTAGCAATCCCTGTCATTAATATTGTTACAAACATCACATTTCTTCAGTAAAATCTATCTCGGTCACAGTAAATGATTCTACATCTGTTTCTAAGCTTTTTGCCTTTAAATCTCTGGATTATCTTAAGCAGATAAAACTTTACTTTGCAAATGACGTCAATAATCACACATAATATGTGAGCAACAGAGGCAAGATAAACACTTCAGGACCATCTTCATTATCCCAGAAGGGAGATCTTAATGCCCTTACAATCAGAATGTCTGAACAACTATCCTTTTCTGATGAGATGTTGGTGATCTGTAAAAATCAAATTAACTGAAGCTCAATTCAATTGAAGTGTTTGAAATAATTGTTGCAAAATAATTTCTAAAAAAAGTTTCTGATTGTAATCTGTTTAATACAATTTTTCTGCAAGTGTGGAACTCATCAATCAGTACCCAGATCCTGTATCTCCTCAACTCTGCCTCACTATCCCAAGATGCCAGCTTTCAGCAGTTTATATTTTCATTTTGATGTAGAGTTTTTTTAAAGACATGATATAATATCCCCTGTATTGGGGTTAATGTATCCATGGTGAACTTGGCTATTCATTCTCCTGTTGTGAACAGCTCTTCACTGTCTGTTTGAGAGCGCCCAGGTATCTTCAGTCCCAGCCAGTTCATGAGGGTTCAACACCACACCCCCACAAAAAAAATCTATAATCCTCATCTCCCAACCCCTCGCAAAAGATTGAATGTCAAGTTGACCTTTCAAACAGATTGATAGACAGTAAGGGCATCGAAGGAGGTGGAGCAAGGGCAGGGCAATAGAGCTGAAGTGCAGTTCAGCCATGATCTAATGAGGATCCAGTTTGGAAAGCCTGAATGGTCTCCTACTCCAAAGAAACAATGTCACAAATACCTCCCAAAATGACAAAGGCATTCCAATTTTCATTTTATGTATCCCATCTTCTCACTGCATGCGCACACGCCTACATGTCCATCTGCAACACAGCATTAGTAACCTTTTTTAATGAGTTCACTTTTTTTTTCTTTACTTTTAATCGTCAGTTTTTGCAGAGGGACTGACTATATGAGATGATTCCACATCAGGGAAATGGATTCTTTATTTAAAATAAAAATTGGTTTCAGAGCAACAGCAAACAAGGTTAATGAGATCTCTGTCCATAGAATTCATTGTTTCTTTTCTCCAACTCCTTCCTAATCTAGTTTAAATTCCACAAATCTTAATCACAATATTGTACTATAGTTTAATTACAAACTGGACTTGAGTGATAAGCTGCACTAGTTAAGCCACACTGAAAGGTTCCCATTTGGGCAGATTATACCAGTGTAAATAGTGAATGCTCCATTTTGGCAGCAGCTTTCTAATTCTCCTTCCCATAGGCTGCTGTTGACCTATCCCTCTTTTGGGATTTCCTCATTTGACCCTGTCCTCAGTCAGTGCTAACTGAACAGTTCAGTCAGAATGCTGTTGAATATAAGATGATTCTTCAGACTCTCCAGAACCTATGGGTGATTAACTGTTGTGTCATGGAATATCCTTACTGGACGATGTATATACAGTCCATTTTAAGTCATCTACAACACTAAGCAGAGATTGGAAAAAAAACTGCAAAGTAGGGGCTGGGAACAAGCAACATCTAAAGTTGGAGTTGAATTTAAAAATCCTTAAATATGAACCATCGAGGGGAAATGGGATTTCTCTCCCTCCAGAGCCAATTGACTGACAAGAGACACTTTTTAAAGAACTGCAATACTAGGCTGCATTCAATCAGAAGGCATTATTACACAACGTGTTTTGCAATTTAATCTGAAATCTTAATTGAGGTGCTTGTCTGAGTGTGACAGTGACTGGATATGTTTTCTTCAGAAACATTTCTGTGCTCTTTGTTCATTGCTGTTTAACTAATCTGTAAGGACCTAGAGGTCACTTATTATAATGTGTTTCCAATCTGTGAAACAGATCTTTCCAGTTTCTAATGAGCTTTACTAAAAAGAATTTGAATTCCTTGCACCTTCATTGTGAATGTGTGCAGTTCACTAATTATAAAATTACTGTTTGTCATCTTCTTCTGTTGCCTTTGCCTCAAAATCTTTACTTCCCTTTAGAACCAAACCAGACTGCCTTATTAATATTCTGTGGCATGTACAATTCAAAACACTTAAAACTCCTTTCTTAACAGTTCATGAATTAGTACGTGAGGCATTAAATGAGAAGAGACCATTCTGCTGATTCCACCTATAATTTGCCCTTTCATGGACTGCACCCTACATCTTTTATCTCCTGAAATAATGTTCTGCAGTGTCTGTCACTCCTCCCTTCTGCCTCTCCACCACCCCAAAAAATGAAAAATTGCAGATAAATCGGTCTGACCATACCAATTTTTTTTTCCCTTTGCTTTCATCATTTGATCTGTCTGTAGTCAATACTGCATTCCAGCAAACATGCTGCAGTAACTCGAGACTGTTCTGACAGCACCTTCCAAACACACGTCCTTGACTTAAGTGGTAAAGGATAAGGGCAACAGATACATGACAATGCTACCAGCTGCAAGTTCCCTGCAAGCCATGCACCATATTGACTTTGAACTATATGACCATTCTTTATCTGCTGCTGAGCCAAAATCTGGGAACTCCCTTTCTAACAGCACTGTTGGTGTCCCTACACCCCGTTGGCTGCAGCAGTTCAACGTGGCAGCTCACCACCACCTTCTCCAGGTCAACAAATGCTGGCCTGCCCACATCCCACAAACAAATAAAAGATATATAATTTACATAACCCTAATCTCATCAGATAGTCATAAACCCTGGATCATATGGTAGCATCTCTACTGAAAGTCAGAAGATCATGAGTTCAAATTCCAAGCCAGGATTTGAACTGATAATACAGGTTACATTCCCTACTGAGGGAGTGCTATACTGTTTGAGGTGCTGTCTTTTGGCATGTATACCTACAGAGATGGTTATGGAAGATCCATAGCCACTATTTCATAGAATGGCTGTGGATTTCTGCCTTGTGTCCTGGCTCATTTAGATTTCCTAACTACCATCATAAGAACAGGTTATCTGGTTATTATCGCATTGCAGTTTGGGAGAGTTTGCTTTCTGCAAATTGACTGCTGCATTTCCTATAGTACAATAGTGACACTTAAATGGCCAAGTGCCTTGGAACATTTAGAGGTTATGAAGGACATGATAGAAATGCAGAACTTTCTTTTCAGATGGTACAAAGGATTCTGTTACATCCAGAGAATGGGTGAGCCTTGGTTTAAAGACTCATCCATCAAAGAATGGCAACTCCAACTGTGCAATATTCTTTTAATACTAACCCTCTGGCGGTCGAGCACTGTCTTGGTACTGTCCCTCCGACAGTGTAGCGCCCCTCTGTACTGCCCCACCAACACTGAAGCAGTCCTCTGTACTGCCCCTCTGATGCTGCGGCGGTGCTCCCCCTGTACTGCCCCTCTGATGCTGCGGCGGCGCTCCCCCTGTACTGCCCCTCTGACGCTGCGGTGGCACTCCCTCAACACAACACAGGATTGTGCACTGGATTTTTTAAAATATCTCTTGCATGAGATAGGAACCCATGACCCTTTGACTCTGAGGTGGAAGTGTTGAGCCACAGCCAGAACTGGCAAATTGAATGAATTAAATCTGATCATTTGCTTTCATCTTTTACCGTTTATTGCAGACCTGGTGCTGATGGATAAGGAGCTAAATGTCAAAGCAACGTACATCGCAGGGGAATGGGTGTGGAAACACCGTGAGTTTGCAAAGGAGTTGGAAATGGGTACTGAATAACAAGTAGGTCCAATATGAGCCAGTGAGATCTGAGACTGAGTGATTCCTGGTTGGCTGGATGATTACAACATTAAACTCGGATACACTGGACACGAGGTTCTCACTGTGCACAGGCATGTTCTCCGTTCTCAACTTCTGAGGTTTTCACCTGTCTGTGCATTTATCTCGGAAGTGCTAAATTTTCAGCATAAAGTACCTGCCTCTGTTGACTCTCTGACATCGCACTTGTATCCCTCAAGAGGATATGGGTAAAGTTCGTCTGTCTTTATACTGGAAGCAGCTACTGCCTTGAATTATGTCTAAGCGAAGTCTAGATTTTAACTTGAGCATTTTCTGCAGGGATGGGAGGCAAAGATACTGAGTGATGCTTATGTACTAACTCAACACTTGACCATATGCAACTGCTTGCTTTCCAATTCTGGTAAGGGGTTTAGTTCTACTCAAGGTGGTGTCCCTGAACGAAGACAAAAAGTGGCTGAGATCAGAATATTTTCAGTATCAAGTATTCTGTTAATTCTATCATGCACCCATCTACGTAAAATGGTGCATGTGCAGCAAATCAAATGTGTTGTGGATAGGGGTAGCAGCTTATGGTGCACTTTTGCTGGTGGCTGAAGAGGCCATCTGAAGGGAAGGGGGAGGAGGGGTGTGGTTCTTCTACAAGGGCTCAATCTGAAGCAGCTGTTCAGTGTCATTGTGGATTGTTGATTTTAGTGCTGGCAATTATTGCTTTGTTGCTGTGATCATTGATCTCTATGGTAGCACAAGTGATTTCGCTATATCTCTCTCAGCTGGTGTCTTGCAGCTTCAGAAATTGATGTTTCAAGCCTTTGTAACATGCTTGCAAGCATCTTTGAGTTGGAATATTGTGGGTGTCTAACTGATTATCTGCCTACAGCTACCTTAGCAAACAAAATATCCTTGAGTATCCATCTGTCTTCCATCTTCTAAGCCTGCCTGAACATGGGAAGTTGCCCCTGCTCAACGAGTGCCAATACACCAGGAAGAGTTGCCTTTGAGAATACAGTCACATCTGTGTTTTGTCCTTTGGATGCCAAGATGCATTGGCAACAGTGAAGATGAAAGTTGTTGGGCCTCCCCCCTCAATAGCTGGAAGTCGTTCATAGTTCACAGTTGTACAAGACACTGAGAACACAGGCCTTATTAACCAGCTCCTGATGGTAATTCATATAACAAGTTCAGCATCAAGACACAGATTATTTGCTTCTGTGGATCCAATGTGACAGAATTTGCTAACCACTTTCAGTAAGATGTTGTAACACCCTGTCCCATAAACATGATTTTCTTGATGCTTACTATAGGGAGACCAAGTTTCAGGCATGGAAGAAATTCATAACTCACTCGGGCTGTTTCCAATGTAGTACCTAGTGCAGTGTCATCAGTGTAGAGGACTATTTTGGACAGCTTCAGCATGAAGAATGAAGTGAAACCAGGCTCTGGCCCAGGTCCTGCTTTGATTGGTATTTTCATGCCCTTGCTCCTGACCTTTGCCCTCTCTGCAGATGTGGAAGGAGTTTACCGGCAAACTTTACAATCCACCCAGAAACACAGCACATCTTGGTCAAGGAACTCCTCTGCATTGATGTTAATAATCAACCCGTCACAGCTCAGCAGTGTGTTTAGCTGAAGGATCAGGGCTTGGATCTAAACCTACAGATACTCAGTTCAGATGAGGACCTTAATCCTCAAGTTCATCATGGTTAACCAGCTGCCTGAGCTCCGATTTGAGGGCTTGGATTTTCTCACAATGGCAAAAAAAATAATAAGCTTATCTGCTAAGACCTTCATCACATCTTCGATACCTCTATACTTAACTATTGCAGTTCTCTCGTGGTTAACCCCTCATTTTCCACCTTCCAGATTTAAGATCATCCAGAATTTACTGTGTGTCCCCTTCATCACACTAAGACTATTTGACTCATCAGCTCTGTACAAGCCTATCCACATCAGTTCCTGGTCCAGCAACATCTCAATTTTACAAGTCTCACCCTCATTTGAAACTTCGAGGACTAGACTCTACCTTCCTTCAGCCTCACAAATCAAGTGCATCTGATTCTCAGTTGAACAGAATCAAGTATCAAAACCAGTTAAAATAAACCAGAGCTGCCATCAGTCAAGCTGAAGAAATTTATCAGCTGGGTTGAGAAGTGGCAAGGCATTTGGTATTATTAAGCAGATGATGATTTGTGTCTGGTTGGAGATTAGCCATGAGTGCTGTGTGGTAGGGGTCAGTCAGTCATTGAACCCCTGCAGTGTGGAAACAGGCCATTTGGCCCAACAAGCCCATGCTGGCCACGCCTCCGAAAAGCATCCCACCCAGACTCGTACCTCTATCCTATCCCTGTAACCCTGCATTTCCCATGGCTAATACACCTGCACATCCCTGAACACTATGGGCAATTTAACATGGCCAATCCACCTAACCTGTACATCTTTGGCCTGTGGGAGGAAACCAGAGCACCCAGTGGAAACCCATGCAGACATGGAGAACATGCGAACTCCACACAGACAGTTGCCCGAGGGAGGAATCGAACCCAGGTCCCTGGTGCTGTGAGATAGCAGTGCTAACCGTTGAGCCACCATGCTGCCCTCAATCGGGGTCTTGAGGAGGTCCAGATGATTGGGGTACCACAGGGTTTACTTAGTGTTGGGACAGTTTCTGTTTCCTCAACTCTTGGCCACTGTCAACCTTCAGAATTCCAACAACTTGTCAGCCTCTCAAATCCCACTGTCCTGTCTGACATCCAGCAGGTGTCAGTGTCTACTTGTGGTGTTTCTCTGAAATAATGTACTGGAAAAGAATCACAAAAGGCAACCATATTTCCAGAAAACCTATCAACAATCATAGTGATTAGTGACAATCAGAATTCCTTTTTTTATTAAAGAAGATTTCAATTGGTGGTTTGCAGCTTGTAATGTTATTTCAAAAATATTGCCCTTGCCAGCTCTAGCGCATTTAATTTTTCTTTGCAAATTTTTTTTTTTCCCCTGTGCTTTCACTATACTGGTTTTCAGGTGATATCATACAGACTAGGATGAGAAGGATCAGTCCTACAGAATAAATGTTCTGCTGTTGACTGCCAGAACTAAGCTTACCTATTCCAGGTTCAGCACCAACTACATACAGAGCAAGATCCTGTTTCACTGTACAATTAAACATTGCCAGGGTATTTTCCCTAGTAAGTGGAAGCAGTTCTGTCTTTAGGGACTGAGCTCTAAGCTCAGCCTTTGTCTCCTTTTAAGATACTCCTTTTAATTAAAAAAAAAAAACTACCTCCTTGACCAAACTTTTGGTCATTTGTATTAATATTGCCTCCTTTGCCCTTCTGTTAGTTTTTATCTGATTACCCTGTTTGGACATCTTACTACATTAAAGGTGCTATACAAACACAAGTTGTTATTGCTGGTGTCAGTGATATCGTTTCCATTGCAAAATTGTGGCAAGAGTATGACAAAGAGGAAGGCTATGTTATACACCAGTGTTAATAAATTATAAATATAGGTTTATGCATGTACACTACTGTAAAAATGCCTTGCACCCAAGTGTTTTTTAAGGCAAGTCAGTTGATTCTTGTTTTAATCCACATTTTGATGATTGCTTTTTACCAAAGATCAGCTGCAAGGTATTACAAGCAGCTGCCAATGTACATAAACATCATTTGATTGTGACTATAACACTTCTGCATGTAATAAAAATAATTACATAAACTTCAGGCAATGATTAGCTTCCAACTGCCCTTAGACTGTTTCATTCTACCTTTGGAAGAAAAGGTTTGGTTAAACATAGCTCCATATTAACATCATGTGCATGTTCCAGACTTTTAGAACTACAGGGACTCAGACACCCTTAGCAGTGTGCTCCAATATGCTCGTCATTTGCTACATGTGGCACATCAATACTGTTCACTTTTAGAGCCACGTGATATAAGTATGTGAGTCACTTGCTGGACTGCTATTTGTCATTGTTTGTTGCTCATTTAAGTATCAATCAACCGCATGACTCTTGGACAGGCATCACATCTCGGTCAGACCGTGTTTAGCAGGATATGGCTCAGTTGCCGGGTTTCCAGTGATTCTGAAACAAGAAAATACTATGCTGTTTTTAACCTCTCTGTTCCTGTTCTCTCTGGGTGCTTCTGATGAAAAGTTAGATTGGCAGAGCCACTCTGTGAAGTGCATTGGAAGCAAGGTTGGCCTTCAGAGATCAGCAGTCAAATTACTTGCAGAATTGTTTTGGGAAATCCAGTGAGACTGGTGAAACTAAGTGGAGAACATGGTTTTATTTAACTGGTAGTTGGTACTTTTTATAAAACAGTTGAGAAGGACAAGTGACCATTAGTGCTGCAAGACTATCAATAACGATTGAAATGTATAATTTGCAAATGAGGGCAATGCAGTGACATATAATGTAGGCCGAACACCTTTGTCATAGGTCTGTTGAAGTAAGCAATTGAAAGGAATAAATCAGTTTAACATAAGAGGAAAGATTACAACAAGCTAGTTGTGAACCAAAGATTTATGAAATGTCTGAATATAATTTGAGAACAGCAGGTGACAGAACCGAAGCAAGACTGGAGTCAGGGCAAAGCTGCCAACATGTATTGATCCTTTTCCGTCCAAGTCATATAAATTATGACGAAATAGAGACATTACTTGAAGAAATGTTTTTCTTAAATAAACTGGAGGACAGTATCAGAAAGAGATAATTAGCTCCAGTTAACAGATTCTTAATGCCTTTGGAAAATCAATGTAAGGGACTTGTTTTGCAGAACAGTTGGGCTAGAGTTTGTATTGGTCTTGATTGTGACCTATTTTCAAGTGATTGTGCATTTGGTTTATTAATATTGCATATATTTTGAATCATGTCACAAATATTTTGACTTGATTGCCACAAGTTTTGTGAGCATTAGAATTTTATTGGATAACACTGCTCTTCTGTTTACACAAGGGAATAAAAATTAGAAGCAGATGTAAAACCTTTGTCTGCTCAAGCCTGCTCTACCATTCAGTAAGGTCTTGGTTGATCTGATTGTGGTGTTAACTGTACTTTCCTGTCTGGACCCCATAACAACATTCCCTCTAATTTTTCTTCCTGTGTGGATCTCCAACGTCCATGCATGATATTGATTTGTATTGATCCAATCACCATGCACGTGTGCATCCACAAAACTTAACGATTGACTCCCTTGATCAAAAATTCATCTCCATCTCAAGTATATTCAATGGCCCTCACTTCACTGCTCTCTGGGGAAGAAAATTCCATAGACTAACAAACCTCAGAGAAATTATTTCTCCTTATCTCAGTTTTAAATTGGAGAGCCCTAATTTTTAAACCCAGTCCCCTCATTCAAGGCTCCCTTTTAAGGGAAAAGATCTCATCAGCATTCGCCCTGTCAAATTCCCTCAGGAGATTATATTTCACAAGATCATCTCTCATTCTTCTAAACAGTGGGGTACAGAGCAGCAATAGTTTCACTGGTGTAAGAGGCTAAATAGCAATCCCCAACTTCGACAATGTTCCATTGTTGACTTTTATTCTCACTTTCCCTGCTCCATCAATATACTCTGGATATCAATAACCCAAGACAGTTGTAATAATGGAACATTCTTTATTAAAGCAAAATACACTATAAAAAATTTTGCAAAAGTCTTACACGTACAATGTTTACGAACATAAATGAACTGGTTTATGCAGACTTCTTTGAAGATCAGACCAGAACAGATGATCAGCCCACTATATCTCGACTTCTCCTTGTTGATCGCTTGACCTCCCTGAGCTATATAAATTGTGAGACAAGCTATTTTAAACTCTTTCCCTACAAAGAAGCTATACAATCAAATCTTGATACTATCCAGTGTCGAGTAAATGATCAGTTTGACAACTGGCAAGCATCACAAACGTGTCATGTTTTCCATGCCAGTTTGATCAATTAACTCATTAAGACATGCTTGTGTCTCCTTATCTTTAATGAACTCTGACATAAAATTTTAGCTTGCACTCACTGTTCACCATGTCATGTCATGTCATTCAGTCAACTGAATGATACTTAACAGCACAATTCTATGACGATTATAAATTCAGCTGGAAAATGTTCTACATTAGCTGATTCGTTGTGTCTGTTTTAAGCAAAACTTCAGCTTTCTAGAGTTACTGTGACAGTTCAGTACATTACTGCAGAGTTCAATACTTGATGTAAAGAAAACAGACATCTCTTCAGCCAAACACAAACACTTTAAAAGCCATGAACTTTCTAATCATTAGGTCATTATCAAGTTTTATGTTTTTCCTTCTCATTTCAAACAACTTCATTTCGGCTAACCCTGGTTAATATCTACACCCTGATTATATAACAGATCTACAATGAAACATTTAGCAAGTAATAGAAAGCAGCAAACAGTATAAAATGAGGTGAAGAAAAGTCACACAAGAAAGTCAGTCTGGATAGTAGATATCTGAAATAACAGAAATTGCTAGAAATAGCCAGCAGGTCTAGAAAGAGAAATGGAGGTGAGGTCTATTCATTCTGCTGGCTGAAAGGTCAGCAAGAATCTTATGTTACCTATTGTTTTGGGGAAGGAGCTACCACACTTAAATGGGCAACATCAAGCCTTGACCTGGAGAAAGGACCCAGGTGGGGAATTATAAGTCCCATCCATTGAGAGATACCAGCCAGTTCAGAGGCCAGCAGGTCCAATGAATGGCAGCATCACTAGGGAGGCAGTGCCTGCTGCTGGTGTGACATGCACTCAAGGCCTGGTATAGTCACTAGATACCAAACCACATGCCTAAAGAAGCAGGAGGAGGATCCAGGAAGGGATCACAGAGTAGGGCAAAAGAGTGGCTTTTGGTGACACTCCACCACCACCACCACCCCCTGCCTTTCGGATGCCATATCCTTCAGTCTTCAGTCTGGTACTAAGTACATTTAACAAAGGATCTTGGAAAGCACAAGCAACCCTGAACAAGCAACTCCCCTCAATGCAAGCCCCAAAGTCACTGAGGAGTTAATGGCAGCTGGTGAAGTTTACATTCACTCTGGAATTGAAAGCCAGTCTCAGTAGGAGGATAGGAGATGACAGAAAATAACAGCAGGGCTGATGGTGCAGGGCAAACAAAGATAGCAATGGAACAAATAAAGAAACTGGAGGAGTTTAAATCGGAAAAGTGATGTATAAATACATTGCTTTGTGAGAAATTCCAATAACATACTCCTTTGCATGTACAATTGTGTTTTGATTTCACTTCAATATGTATTAAATTTATAAATTATAACATTGATAGTGCAAAATAATGAGACTAACATCCTGTTGTTCCTGGGTCTGTAGACGTTGTTTCCCACTATTTCAAGGGAATTAGTCTAGGCAGATGGGACAAAGTCCCAGTTTCTCTAATGCCTGTTTAGAGTCTGCAACAAATTGAGTTTGGGCTGCATTATTATTACAGGTCCCAGTGTACACAAGCCCACAGCTCAAGATTAAATGAGTTTGCATTAAGCCAGCACTTTCTGATATCAGAGCCAGAGGGAAGAGATGAATTTTAAATATCATACATCTGTCTTTGGAAATGTCCTTCTAAGATTGCAGTAAAGTGTATGTAGCACAGGAAAGGATTGGGAGGAATGAAGAGTCACGACCTGAACTTCAAGATGTTGATGCAAGATACATGGTTGTGAACAAAGCAAAGCTTTACTGCCATTCCATTCACTCTAACTGCATGTAATTCCTGATAATACTTTTGGTTGCTTTGTCCAGAGTGTTCTTTGTCAATGCCTTTAGTTCATTGACTATTCATTTTGATACTTCTGGCCATTCTTGTGTTGTTCACTTTATTCAGAGAGTCCAGTTGCCTTCTGTAACCTGCCAAGAGGAGGATACCGTTTGACATCCACCCCTTGCCAGGCCACATATTGATTACAGTTGTATTAAATGATATGAAGGGAGTGTTTTTGAATCCTTTGTCTACACATAAAAAGAAATTCAGGAAACCCCTTGCCTGGGACAGATGGAAAACTAGCAATAAGGACATTTGGAAGGGAAATCTTAGTATTCTAATAACAGCCCATGAAAATCATAAACTTAGCAAATTATAGAATGGCTAAAAGCAACATCAGAACATGTCCATTCCTCATTTAGCAATTTCCATGTGTTCAGAGTATCATCAATGGCTCAGTAACGCTTTTGCCCATGAGATAGAAGACTATGGAATCAAGTCCCTCTCCAGAGACTTGAGCATAAAGTCTCGGTTGACATTGCAACTCAATATTGAGGAAGTTTTGGATGGTCTGAGGTTTTGTCTTTTGGATAATACTTTAAACTGAGGTCCCAGTGGCCTTCTCATTTCAGTGTAAAATGTACCAACAGAAGCTGGGGAGCTCTTCCTGGAACTTGTTTAATACTTATCCTTCAATCAATACTGAAAACAAATTGTCTAGTCTCTAGCACAGTTTGTAGGAGCTTTCCTTGTCTAAATTAGATAGCGTGTTTCCTGCATTACACTTCAAAATGCTTCACTGGCTGTAAACTGTTTTGGGATGACATGAGGCTGTGAAATGCACCATATAAAAAGAAGTTCCTTCTTCATATTGGGCACGAAGGTGGTGGCACGTTATTTTCCCTTACTGTACAGAATTAAGCCCATTAAATAATTTTTTTCCTTATCATTACTGATGGACTAGAGATTTGTTTCTATATATAGGGAAACATGGTATCTTCAAATTAGTTTGGTGC